CTTGGCTGCAGCAGCTATTATACACGAGGTTTGCTACAGCTCTGTTTTTCTCGCTTTTTTACCACCTTTTTTGTATGATAATATATTTGATTCAGAATTGTACTTTTTTCCACATTCAGCTCGGCCATTCATCAGCAGCAAAAACTTACAATGTACGTGTTAATGGTTTTGGAATATTCTTATTAGGATTATATCCAGGAGCGTTTACTGATATTGATCCAGAATCTTTACGTGAGTTCTTTTCACATAATGGAAGTAGTCGGATCTGCATTTGCTATGTTTTTATTTCGTTTTACTGGTGCGCAAAAAGCGGTTGAAAAACACCCTTGAGCTTATATTGTTGTGATTTATCGACATTAGCTGTTGCAGAAATGTGCTAAACTCTAATCACCTTTTTCCGGGTATTTTTCTGGTGTATTTTGTTATTTACAAAAAATTCTAGGGCGCAGTCATCCTCGCCATCGTCTTGAAATATTCGGAGGTGGTATTTGGCACAATCTTATACTAGCCGGTATTGCATATCTAATGTTTCTATGGACCCCATACTTTCTGTCTCCATTTTTCGCGCAAGGCAATGGTGTGACCGTAACAGGTACATTTTGTTTGGTGATTAATAATTTCCGTCCTATACGTCAGCATTAGTTACGTTTAGGTGTTGATTCACGTTCTGGTTTATATGGTGTTGGTGGCTTGTCAGAAGGAAACGTTGTTTTGTCTATTGATGATTGTGCGATACGAAAACAAGAAGATTGGCGGAAATGTGTGCGACATCTGGAAAAGGAAAAACACGGGCAGTGCGTTCCTCGTTCTGCAGTGGAAGCATCTCTGGCGACTAAAGTGGGCAGACTTGTTTGTTTATCTTTGCTCTGTTTACGCGCTGAGTAAACCGTTTGTGCATGGGGGATCTTTGTCATTTTTAACATTTTAGCCCAAATATCGTAAGCTACATATATAAAAGCCAGATCCGTTCTTCTAACCACTCCTCCCTACCAAAGAGCCTCGGGAGTGGTTTACAAGCATACGTTACCCTGTATGGCACACGCCATACTTGATGCGCTTAATCCACTTAATCCGCTTCGTCATTGGTCAATTCAGTGAACTGACC